TCTGTCTGTCTGTGTGCGTGTGCGTGCGTAAGTATGTATGTATGTGTATATATATATATATATGACGCCGATGCCCACCTCGCGCCAGAGCAGCAAAAGCCCCTCCGAATGGGTCGCCGGAGGCTCGCACCTCCATTATGTCCTGCAGCTGCGCCTTCATTGTAGATGCAGACAGGGTTGGCAAATCTGGATTTAGAGTTTGAGGGCTCCCTCAACCATAAACCTTAACCTCTAAACCCTTTAACCCCTGACCCTAAACCCTAAACCCTAAACCCCCCTTTAACCCTTAACCCGAACCCCCAAAACCCTAAACCCCCCTTTAACCCTTAACCCCAAACCCTCCAAAAGCTGTCGAGGCTCTACCTTAAGAACCCAAAACCTACTTTTTTGTAGGTTCTTATTATAAACCCTGATATGGGATTTATAGGGACCCTACAAAAAGTAGGTTTTGGGTTCTTAAGGTAGGGCCTTGGAAGCTTTCTTAAGGGATCTCGGCCTCGGCTCCTCCGATGGCCTTCGACTTTACCGGTTTAGGGTTTAGGGTTAGGGTTTAGGGTTTCGGGTTTCGGGTTTAGGGTTTAGTGTTTAGGGTTTAGGGTTTAGGGTTCGCATCGCTTACCGTTTTGTAAGAAAATACAGGGGCCTTCATAACTACCCATAGGCCCTAAAGTAGTTCCTTTTTGAGGTTCACACATAGAACCCTATAAGGTAACCCCAAAAGGGACTACTATGGGACCTTCATAACTAGACTAATATAGGGGCCTTAATGATTAGAATAGGGTTTTGGGGTAGCTTATACTATGTTTATAATACGGAACCCCCAACAATAGTGTAGGTAGTTATTTAGGCTCCAATATTTAGGGCCTACTCTGGGGTGAACTATTGCGCTTTTCATATTCAGGAGCTATATCAGGTGGGGGCGATTGTCGCATTCGCTGCTTGTTCCTTTATGCTACAGGCGAGATGAACTCAAACATCCTACATCATAGCACCTCAACCTAAGAGACGATGTTAAACCGAAGCCCTGTATAGACCTAAACCCTAAGCCGAAGACTCCATGCACTGCACCTCCTGAACGTGGAATCCTTACTTACTGCCTTATAACCACTGACTGAGTATTGGGCTCAAAGGCTTTCGGTTTGAGGGCTGCTTGGTGCGCTTTATGTAGAGGCTTGAATCGGTAGACTCCGGCTTTGGAGGAGTGTCTATACTATAAATACAAGATAGAGCCCTAAGGAGCGCCAGTAGTAATTATCTCCATTCTTGCTAGAATGCTCTGTAGGGCCTTAAAGTCTTGTAAGGGGCCTTCTGATTGAGGGCGGGTCAGATGACTCAAGCCTGAGGCTATCTCCTGAACCCCTATACCCTAAACCCTAAACCCGAAATGTCCATAGAACCTTGTACCCCTAACCCTAAGTAGATTCCGGCCCCAACTACAAACGAAACTCTTGATGTTTGGGACAGTGTTTTTTGCACTGCTTCGGGATGCCGGCTTAGCTTTTTGTCACTGTAGGCCTGTGAATTTCTGGATTCGTGGCCTCGGGTCTTGGGATGCAGATCAGCGGAGATTTGATTGTAGGGGAGGTGTTGGGTGCGGGGTTAGGCTCTGAAGGGCCTTAGGGTTCAGCAGATCATTACGTCTTAACCCCCCATCCATAACGTGACATGGGAGTTTCCGAAAATAAGGGGTACCTTATTTTTGGGTTCCTAAAATAAGGATCCCACTATTTAGGGTATTATATTAGGGTCCCCTATTTTCGGAAACCCCCACATTGACATGAACAAACCAGGCAACTTACGGCCGAAAAAGATTCGGCAAATGGGAACCCAAGATCTGACCTGTCCTATTAATTGAAGCTCCCATGCTACGTTTGCCCTAAACCCTAAACCCTAAACCCTAGACCCTAAACCCTAAACCTTAAAACCCTAAACCCTAAACCCTAAACCCTAGACCCTAAACACTAAACACTATACTTGGGCATGGCAATGCTATGCCGAAGTATAATGAGTATAGTGTCGAGGGCTCCTAAAGCAGGCACCCCAAATTATAGTTCTAGGAAGCCCTGTTTCTTACTTCCCCAATAAGCCAGGGAAATAAAAGGTTGAACTTTCGGATTACTCCTAACAATAAGAACCCAAAAAGTTTAAAGGTTGGGTATTGGGGAAGTAAGTTATGGAACCCTATAGATCCCGTTAAAGGAGCCCTATATCGACCCCTTTAAAGGAACCCTATAGATCCCTATATATGACTGAACTAAGATTTGGAGTTTACTAAGGTTTGGTGGTACATGCAGCCGGCCTGCACAGAAGTGCTGTCGCCGCCGCAGTGCGGGCTGCCCCAGGTGACCACGGTCCCATCAGACTGGCAGGGATGCTTAGCATGTTTAGGTTTTAGGGCTTAGGGGTTTAGGGGTTTAGGGGTTTAGGGGTTTAGGGGTTTAGGGTTTAGGGGTTTTGGGTTTAGGTTTTAGGGTTTAGGGGTTTGGGTTTAGGGGTTTTGGGGCTTAGGGTTTAGGGTTGAATGATGTGGCGCGACGCACCGTCTTGCCAGCGTCAGTTGGCCTAACACACCACAAGCCCTAAAACACCAAACCCTAAAGTATGCATAAAGCCCAAAGCCCTCAAAAAAACCTGAAACCCAAAGCCCCACGCACTAAACGCCCGAGCCCCACATGATTACCGTAATTCACGCACCTACACGAACTCTGAACGCGCAGATCTTTGGAGCTACAAGTAGCCGCAGTTCCACTATGTTCCAAGGAACCCACCCCCTAAACCCTGGCATCCTTGTTGTAGGAACACCCTGAATCCTGAGCCCTACACCAGAAGCTGCCCAAAAACCTGAATAGTAGGATGCTGATTATGATAAGGACACGCAACAAGAGAGCCCTGCTTTCTGAAACCCGAATAAAACCCGCAGACCCCCAACAAAAGCCCTAAGCTGCAAACCCTGAACCCTAAACCCTCAACACCAAATCCTGTATCCCCCAGGATTCTAGCAAGTAAGCCTCAGACCGCCCTCTTTTAGTACACCTTACGGCAGTCCTAAGTTCTAAACCCTAAGCCCCTACAAGTACGCTTTTTCGTAACCCGAAGTTCCAAACCCTATATACCCTAACTTCTGAATCCTAAATCGCCTCGTAGTAACCCCAAAGTCTAAACCCTAAACCCTCAGTTCTAAGCCCTAAACGTAACTCTTATTCCTTCAAACCAGGACCTCATCCCAACCCCTGTATTCTAGTATGACTTACAGGAAACCGTAGAGCAACCCTGGTAGAGTGACCCTATAGTACGCCGTTTGGTACGCCCTGTAGCCACCCTTCTAGTAACCCATATAGAACCCGATATAATTTAGGGGCCTTAATAATTAGAATATGGTTTTTGGGGCTCCTTATGATAATTATATGGTATAATATACTCCCAAACCCTATTCTAATTATTAAGGCTTCTATGTTATTGCCTCTAAAGCAATCCCTGAACCCTAAACCCTAAACCGTGGCTCGTTATTGCCTTTAAAGCAATCCTCTGGGGGGCCGACGCGGATGGCTGCAAAGGCCCTCTGCGAGGAATGAACCTCCGACTCCCATGGCCGGGTATGAAATTTGTGTGGGGTCCTTTAAAGGGCTACTGTAGGGGCCTTAATAATTGGACTAGGCTTTTTGGGTACAGTATATTATACTATATCTATAATAAGGAACCCCCAAACAATAGTGCAGGTAAGTCTTAAGGCCCCTCTATTTCGATGAGGGGCGCTATGATTACGGTGAACTGCTAGTGTAAGGCTGACTCTAAGACTTCGCGCTTCGGGCTTTGGTCTGCTAGGGTTTGGGATTTTAAGGGTTTAGGGCTTAGGGTTTGGGGGTTTAGGAACCTCAGGGCCTTGGGTTTTCAGGGTTTTCGGGCGTGGAAGCTATAGGTCCGTGGGGTTACAGCTGAATCTTTGAGTAATGTAGGGGCCTTAATAATTAGAATAGGGTCTTAAGACATATCATACGATAATTATGATAAGGACCCCGCCCCCCCCCAAAAAAAATAGCGTTTTAAGGTATATCAGACTATATTTATAGTAAGGAGCCCCCCTCAAAAACACATGGTGTGGTAATTATCTTAGGCCCCTACATTCGGGTAAATGACGGGGCCCTGAAACCCGAAATTGGAGCAGGGCTTCATATCCGTGGGTTCAAGGTTGGGTAAGGGCTCTAGCATAGGGCTGCGAATCCTGAAACCACGAACCCCAAACCCTGAAACGCAAAAGATGCTCAACCCTTCGTACTCTAGTGGCCTTATATATTTAATACTTGCCTATACTATTTTGGGGGTTCCTTATTATAGTTATAGTACAATGGGCCCCAAAACCCTATTCTCATTATCAAGGCCCCTACATTATCCTGAACCGACACAACTTCGAGCAACCGGAATCCTGACCCCCAAACCCTGAACCCTAACCCGCAAACACTGAACCCTAACACTCCCTAACCCGTAAACCCTACAGCAAAGGCCACAAGCTCTAAACCTTAAAAAGAAAACACTACGTCCTCCACACCAACACCCAGGCCTAACCCCTAAAACCCTACCGTAAAGCCCTAAACTCAACCCCAAAGACACCCCCAAAGCCTGGCAAACGTTGCGAAGCTGGTCCTGACGGACTGCGGCCATTTGGGCAGCTGGGAGGCTTAGGACATAAAGCTGGAGGATTTGGGGCTTATGAAATGCAAAAGATTGGGACTTTCCTATTCCTAATTTCAGGGCCATGATTCATGATGCCGTGCAGGCTAAGGAGTCATAGGGGACAGTTTTGGGGCTACCCATGACAGCTGATACGTTGCAGGCGTAGCGACGCCAAAACCAGTAAACTCTCGTGTTTGGGAGTTCGCAGCGATTCGATTCCGCTGTAAACTTTCTCGATGTCGTAAGACGGCGGAGAAAGCTTTACATCATGTTGACCTCCTGCGGTCTCGGAAACTAAGGACAAGATCTAGTTTAGGGATTTAGGGCTTGGGGGTTTCCTTTAGGGTTTAGGGTTCAGGGGTTTAGGGTTTAGGGTTTAGGGTTTAGGGTTTTAGGGCTTGGGGGTTTCCTTACCGAGAAAAGCTGTTTGGCGTTCTGCCGGATGGGTCCACATGCTTGCATCGAAGATGCACGTGTTCTCGTGGTCGTCCTACCAAGTGCATGGATGTGCATGCACTGTGTCTATCTCTATCGATCTCTTTCTCTCGATGTCTCTCGATATGGATGGTGGTGCAAAGTAGGGTCTCTTTTGGGTTTCCAAACTATAGTATGCCGGATTTACAACGGACCTATACAGGGTTCTCCGAACTGACCATGTTTTTGACGAGCACCTATATCTCTGTCTCTCTCTCTCTCTGTCTCTCTCTCTCTCTCTCTCTCTATGTGTCTATCTATCTACCTAGCTATCTAATACTTAATTACTTACTAACACAAAAGCGTGTGTATCTCTACGGTGCATGAGACATCCAGCACATACCATGGCCTGCCGAGGCTCCATGTAGCATTGACATCCTTTGAAGGCTTGAGCGACCTAGAGCTTGTCCAGCAGGGACAAGCGATGGGGTTTTGCTATCATTGGCATGTAGAGAGATGTTTTGGAATACTATGCCTCCGCTTGACCTCAGCTTGGGTTTTGGATAACTGATGAACATGGAAGGAAGCACCACGACTTTAGAATTGGCGATTAGCCCAGGATTGCAGATGGACTACATGGAGGTTATATCGGCATGCAGGAACACGGTAATTACGTTGTTGCAGGCGTCTTAACGCGAAAAACTGATGTTCAAAGTTCAAACAACCTAGTCGAATTCCTAATCGCTTGCTGCCCAACCCTCTGTCCTGCACTGCGGTCCGGTCCGCACCATAGCGGGCGTCGCCCCAGGTGACCACAGAGCCGTCGAGCAAGACCTCGGCTTCGGATAGGTTTGACATGTGCCACAACGGAAACTTCACTATAACATCCCAGTATTCCTTATATGGACCGTAGATAGGTATTCCTTTCTTTAGCGTAGGGTTGCATGAACCCAAACACGACACTACACCCAGTCAAACAATATCTTGTAATTAAGAGCTTCCTTAAGTCAAAACAAGAATCCCGTCGGCCTGTCCAGTATTACCACTGGGGTGTCTTGAACTTTGAGCTCTTGCAGATGACTTCTTTTGGGCCAAGGAATGAGAACTTCTTAGCCCATGAAGCCTTAGCCCGAAACCCCAAGCTGAAGCCATAACCTCGAGTCCAGGCCCGAAAAGTCCTCAACCTCACATAAACTGTGACATGTTGCGGTTTGATATGGGTAGTTCTCTAAACCAGGGTCCCTTTTTGGGTTCCTTTTATAAGGGCGCCGTACTGTATTGGGGCCCTAAAAGGGACCCTGATTTAGATAACTAGCCATATGGTAGCCCTTGAGCTATTTCCGTTCCCGGCCCCGCTGCAAAGACGTCGACCCATGACTGCTGCACTTCAACCAGGGAGCCTCACGGTGCACCCTAAACCCTAAACCCTAAACCCTAAACCCCGCAAACCCCAAAGGTACGGAAGATCCCAACACCACAAACGAGACATGCCCCCAAAACACAGTCATAAACACAGCCTGGCGAAGACCCTATAGGGTTTAGGGTTTAGGGTTTAGGGTTTAAGGTTTAGGGTTGAGGGTTTAGGGTAGACCCTATGCCAGCACCCTAAACCCTGAACCCTCAAACGCCTACACCCCTACACCGGCCTGCACCCTAAACCCTAAGGGCGAGCGAGCTGCCGCCGCGAAGGCACCTGTGGAGGCCTGCAGAGCCTGCACGCCCCGTAGCTGCTCCTACAAGGATACAGGGCTTTGGGGTACAGGGAGTTTAGAGTTTAGGGTTTAGGGTTTAGGGTTTAGGGTTTAGGGTTTAGGCTTTGAGGTGCGAGGATTTTGGGCCTCGGCATTTTAGGATCTAAGGCTGCAAGGTACAAAGACTTAGAGATTTAGGCTCTAGGTAATTACAGGGATTTAGGGCTTGCGAGTACAAGCACTTAAGGCCTTGAGGCCCATGGATAGGTGGGTCTAACTTACCCAAACGATGGGTCCTTTAAGGGTCTAGGGTTGTTGAGGCTTCTTGCGTCCGGGGCTTTATTGGGGCTGTGACATGCTGACAAACTTTCCGGACTTTCGGGGTTCAGGGGGGATGGAAGAGTTTTGAACTTTGAACCGCTTCCTCACAAACCATAAACCGACCCTAATCCTTCTCAACAGTTCTTCATCGCTTACATAAGAGGTACGTATTCTGCACAGGAAGCTGTTGCTGCACATATCCGTGCTCCCCCTCCCACACATCTCCTGAACGCTGCTGCTGTCGCCCCCACCTTTGGATTTGTGCTTTGGGCTTCTGATGGAGCGAGCACACCCTGCCAGCTTGAACGGGGGGCTGCGCTTACCAGCCTGGGGATTTTGGTCCAATCTAGAGTTTAGGTACAGGTATGGTGCTGGGAGTACGTCTACACACGTGGAAGGTCCATGGCTGCAGGCACTAAGGCTAAGAATCTTGGAGTTCTCGGGTCGGCATTTCGGGCCATTCCAGCAATTCCCTTGGAGCTGAAGGAACAGTTGAATACGTATGAGACCTTACTTGTGCCACAGATCCCGACAAACGCGGCTTTTCAAGTTTGAACTTCTCAACTCAAGCATTTATAAGGCAATCAATGATGCGAACTTCTGGGGGTTCGGGCTGAAAGTGCAGGCACGGCACAGTCGGGTGCCCCCCATGTAACCACAGTTCCATCGACACAAAGGGCAGCAAAGGCTCCACCGGAGGCAGCGATCCTGACATGCTTTCTAGCTTTCGTTCATACAGGGCTGAGAAGCTCTCGGTCGTAAACTGAAGTAGAGTCCCAAACTTGAAGCAATGACCTTGCATTACAGCAAATTTGCTCTTCGTGGTCAAAGAGTCTACGGTTCTTTGCACTTGAGGGCTTGATGCGAAGCAAATCGTTAGCTCGTCCCGAATGAACGAGTACAGCAAAGCACCACAAATCAAACAATAACCTACGCATGTTGCGCGTGCATGTGTTAGGTGCTCTTTCCAAAGCAGGCAAATGAATAAACAAACCCGCACTATATATTGTCTACGTAAAGTCCTGATGAAAGCCCCTTGATTGCAAAGACTCCAAAGAAACTCCTCTAAACAAGCGACTGCTCCACACCGGTTCCCTCACACGACACTAGTGTGGGATGAGATGCTGCTTGTTCCTCCTCATACTCCAAACACCTATCTCGTGCTTCCGCTTCTTGTCACTTGCAACACGGTTACTGAATTTCAACCATTATTGCGACTACTTTTCCTGCACCAATCCTGGAAGGACAAACCCCGAAACATTAGTTTTGTAGTCACAGGGCTGTCGAACGCTCCGGAGGCGTGGCTGCACACGGCTGCAATCGCCACCTGACAGGTCGCGCGGGTGGAATTTTTCAGGGTTCTTGACTTTTAGCTGCCAGCAAGGCTACCGCATCCAGGGTGCAGTCACAATGGAAATGACAGACAGACACAGAACCGTTGCCGTGATATGAGGACTCGGTAGCTAGCACCCGAATCTCTGTGTGGCTATTGTCTTTAACGGCCGCGCCGCCATAGTGAGCCATGCCCCAGCACCAGACCGATCCCGTGTGCTCAAGCAGAGCGATGGCACGGCGCGTAGCGAAGAGCCTTGGCATTTTCTGGCCCTGAAAGAAAATAATGCCTACAGGGGCACTAACCCCGAAAGCTAAACCCCAAACTCTAGCCCTAATCCCTAAAGTAAGAAAGCTGCTGTTGAGAAGAACTTGGGCAGTTACAGAACCACAAGAAAGTTTGCCTGTCTGGACGAGCTCTGAGCGCTGAGCCCTGCTCCGCCCCGAACCGAACATGAGGGCTACTGTGGGCGCTATTATAAGTTAGGAGGATGTTTGCAGTAATTATATGACTTATAACTGTGGTTAATCATAAAGATTGCTAAGCCTATACTGTTATAAAGATTGCTATACGGGTTGCCAAAGGGACGAACTCGGGCGACATTCAAACCTGAAAGATCGCTATGGCCCGTAACATGTTTGAGCGCTTAGCTGCTCTCCCTTGTAGCTCTGATTTTGACAAAGTACATTCATGGCTAGGATCCTATCATACAAAGCCAGGTAATCAACAATAATGAGACTGAAGGTTTCGGGCGCAACGCCGCCCGAAAACAGGCCCGTGCACAAAACAAAAAGCGGCAATCACAGCTCATCCTTGGCGTTATTCAAAATACTGAGGCACATGTACACAACAGTTCACGATCAGGTCATTGCCGCAAACACAACAGGTTCTTGCCGGACCGAGGTACCCAGAACGTTGCGCGAGTGCCTGTGAGTCTTGCAGCGGGGCCAAAAAGAGGTGGGGTCACAACCCCAAATCCCACACCCACAAACCCCAATCCCCAAACCCCCGAAACCCCGAAAACCCCAAAACCCCAAACCTTTGCACCCTCGACCCCGGAATCTACTACGGCCCCGAACCTGCTACCCTAAACCTTAAACCCTAAACCCTAAACCCTAAACCCCTAAACCCTAAACCCTAAACCCTAAACGTGCTACCAACAACAACCTGTTACTTTAAGGAACGCAGAGAGGGCCTGATTGAACATTCTTGCGGCCACCTTCCTGTCAACAGAATGTACTTGGAGGATCATTTTAGGGTTTAGGGTTTAGGGTTTAGGGTTTAGTAAGTAAGGTCATAACTACCTTAATTGGGGTTATAATTACTTATAAGTATAGTTACCTTATTAATAACCCTAGTTACTAAGTCCCATGATCCTCCAGATTTAAAGGGTTCCTTAAGGGGTTCTTTAAGGGCTTAAGGGTGTAGGGGCCTTACTCATTTTCATAGGGTTTTGGGGCCCATTATACTATAATTATGATAAGGAGCCCCCCACAATAGTCTTGGTAAATTTTTAGGCTATATTATGGTGGACACATCAGAAAAACGAGGCCATGCCCGCGCCACGCTACACCTCCTCCGGATAGCTTCGTTTAGTCTGGGATCATTGCAAAGATGCACAGAGTTCCCTTTGTCTGGGCATCAGGTCCAAAAGCATTTCCTGTTGAAGGATAAATGTGGTCTTTCGGGTTTAGGGTTTAGGGTTTAGCCCTAAACCCTAAACCCTAAACCCTAAATCCTAAATCCTAAACTAGTTTAGGGTTTAGGGGCTTGAACCGTGGATTGGAGCATGCCCGGTGGAAAACCAATCGCCCTAAGCTCAGAAAGTACTTGGAGTCTCAGGGTACTTAGCAAGTAGGGGGTTTAGGGTTTAGGGTTTAGGGTTTAGGGCCTTCTAGTAGGATGAGGACCATCGGTTTAGGATCGGTGATTATATAGATTCCGTAATAACAGCTGGCATAATTCTAAGCCTCCTGCTCCCTGACTCAACGCAAATCAACTCCATCCGTCGGCCCAACCCTAAACCCAGAATGACCTGACTTAAAATTGGAAAATGGAAACTCCCAGTAATCATGCTACAGCTACCCCCCGCAATCCTATTCTACTTAAGGCCCCCTCCCCACTCGAAGGTTCGTGGCCTGCAAGGTCTGCCCGCTGGAAACACCAGCACTGCTCAGCGTGGCGGCTCCTTCGGCCAAGGTCAGCGGCCAAGGTTCATTCCCAAATCTCAAGTCCGCTCTGGACCTTCAAGGTCTCGATACAACAATTTAGGGTTTGGGGTTTAGATACCTTAAACCCGAAACCCTAAACCCTAAACCCTGAACCCTAAACCCTTAATCCGATTCAGAGTCTGGGAAATCCAAGGTTTGCCTTTCGGCACCTTGAGATTCCAGGAAGTCGAGCTGAGCTGCGAGAAATCGCAAGCCATGTGATGCAGGGCTTACCCATAGGCCCCATAGTAGCTCCTTTTTGGGGGCTACCTTATAGGATTCTATGCTTTTTGGGGTTACCTTATAGGATTCTATGTATGAACCCCAAAAAGGAACTACTTTAGGGCCTATGGGTAATGTATCGGCCACATGTTGACGAGTTCGGGTTGCTAGATCTTTGACGGTCTGACAGAACCTCGAAAGTAGAACCACCAACTTGGTACTCAGCACTGTACTCTATTCTACTCTACTCTACCAGTAGCGGCTAAAGGGGATAATGCAAATCATCACCCATTAGGGTTCCCAAAACCTTATTCTAATCATTAAGGCCCCTACACTTCTATGAAAAGCTTCCTGAAGGCCAAAGCGTCCATCCTTGGCTCAAAGCCCGGACTTCATCAAACTAAGCTGCAGTCCCACATCCCCGACATCAGAGGGTTTGTTTTAAAGCTTTGGAGATTTGGTAGTCTAGGGTTTGATGGGTTAGGATTCAGTGTTTCGGGTTTTCGACTATAGGGTTCAGGATTCATGGGCTCAGGGCTTTGGGTTTTGAGGTTTAAACTTTGCCGGCACCTGCGCCAGATCACAGCGACAAGGCTGGACGTTCTACTTTAGGGTCTAGTCGGCTAGTTGTCGGTTGCTTTTCGGGTTTACTGTTTTCGGTAGTTGCAAGAGTGTAATCTTTAATCGGTTCAAGAAAAAATGCAATACATTCGACGCCAGTGGAGATGGCATTGTATCCAACCTCAAACCAACTCACTTTACGCTACACCCCAGACCCTGAACCCAAAGCTTTAAGGCCTTAGCTGGGAAGCCGAAATCCCAAACCCAGACCTATCGTTATATGATCCAGGCGTTTCGGCCTCATAAGCTGCTCGTGCCCCAACTCCAACATCCAAACCTTTGAAGCTCGTATCCCCGACCAGCCACGGGAGCAAAAAGCAAGTATACGATAGTACTAATAATAATCTTAGACTAGATATTCGCAATGGCAGCAGTAAAAGTAATGATAGCAGAACTTGTCTCATTAATAGGAGAACTAATTAAGGGTAATTAAAACAATAGTTGATCGAATAGCCGCAATGCTCAAGTCCCGAAAGACTGAAGCCTGTAATTCCTACACTCCTGAATCCCTAAGCCTTCAACCGCTGCACCCTGATCCCTAGACTTTCATTTAGGGCATAATTAGCGGCTGAAAGCTGATAGGATGATAAGGTTGCAAGTTCTCCTGGCAGCAAGATGCCGGAAGGAGGCACCAGACCTCGTAGGCCTTGCGTCACCCGCGCGACGCTGCGAGAGTTCAGGGTTGTGTTAATCAGGGTGTTGGTGTTCTTCCGTTTTGGGGGGGCTTAGGGCGGGTTCTCCAGAGGTCCGTGTTTTTTCTGCGTTGCTCTTCATTGAAGGGTTCCTTGCAAAGTAGCCCCATGTGCGGCATTCTCGCTGTGGTGCTCTTTTGGGGGGACCGGAACGTAGAACCCTGACGCGCCACGGTTCCCTCGTCTCTTAATGTCCTAAGCCTAAGCCTGAAAACCCAATCCATTCGATTTAAGAAGGTCTTACGCACCCGAAGAAGAGAGATTCTGAGTTGGAGCTCCGGCCCGCCCCCAACCCTCAACGTATGAACCTAATGTAGGAGTCTTTATAATTAGAATAGGGTTGGGGGGGTATATTCTACTATAATTATAGTAAGGACCCCCCCCAAAATAGTGTAGGTAATTATTATAAGCCCCTATAGTACAGCAGCAACACCAGACTCTACGATCCCTTGGAGTTGAGCTAGGGGAACGGCACAACCCATAAGGTTAAACCCTCAAGCCCCAAAACTTGAAAAACATAAAAAGCACATAGTCGTAGGGCTTCAAGCCTTATAAGCCCTCGCTGACCATCACTCGCCCGTCTAGCCCAAACCTGAAACCCTCAGCCGATATCTCACCGCAAACAGCAATCCCCACCCCCAACGCCCCAATCCTCTAACATCCTTTAAGCCTCTCGGGGCAGCTTCTGCATGTGGGATCTATATTGGATCCGTGAAGGAGGAGTTAATCCAAAGAAACTCGAATGTAGAGAACTGCCCATCTAAACCTAAGCCCCTGTAAAGCCCTTTTACTGAGAGCCCTTACACGGACCCTTGAACTACCCCTATCCAAACCCCCAAAAGGATCTAAAAATAGATCCCCCAAGGGGGTTCCTATAAAGTACGCTTTAGTAGTTAGGGTCGCTAATTAGGGGATCTATTTTTAAGATCCTTTTGGGGGTCTGGAACCCTAAACCCTAAACCCTAAATAGATCCTTTTGGGGGTCTGGGTACACCCTCAGTCCTTAGGTCCAGCTCGACTGATTGACTGAGCCGATCGAGGCTTCGGCCCACGCCAAGCTTTGCTTGGGCGTCGAGTCCTTTGTGTGGGTTTAGGGTTTAGGGTTTAGGGTTTAGGGCTTCGAGTCCTTTGTGTGGGCTCGTAACAGTTCGGGGGCTTCTGCTAGGGTGGAGGCGTTCGGAGTGTTGGGTTTAGGGAGTTTAGGGGTGACACTCGGGAGGAAGCCTGCAGCCTGCATAGTCATGCTAGGAACAAGGAACACGACGAACAGGGCTAACATAGGGGGGCTTAAAAATTAGAACAGGGTTTGGCGGGCCCGTTATACTATAATCATCATAAGGAACCCCCCCCAAATAGTATAGGTAATTATTTAGGCCCCTACATTAAAATGCAATGCTGGCGATGCTGAATCCAGCCGACGGCGGCGGTAGCTTTACATGTGAAGCCTATGCTTTGGAGCATCAGGGCTCTGGGACTCAGGAGTTAACGGGGGGCTGCCCTACAACGGTGACTAATGTAGGGGCCTTAACAAGGTTTCGTGGAGGTTCCTTATTATAACTATATAGTATATGAAATACCCAAAACCTATTCTTATTATTCAGGCCCCTATATTGACTGTCAGCATGTTTGCTAGCATGCGACGAAGACTCGCAATTCCTCGATGGTGGTCTCTGGCGCGGCGAACACCGGCACACTCTGCCCACTGAGCAGCGCAACATGCAGCGCGAGGGACATGAGGAATTCTCTTGCAAGGCATCGGGGCTTCGGGATTTGGGCCGGGATCTCTGATCGCTCAACCGCAGAGAGCTGAGATGCTTTCGAAGGGGAATGCACGCAGTGTGGTTCGGGAATCTCGAACGTTGAAGCAGTACTTTGGTGCCTTGGAATAATATATAAGCCTGCAAAAAACCCTAAATCCTAAACCCTAAGAAAAACACGACCCAAACACTGAAAAGGCACCCCAAAGCATCCCAGAGATAAGCTTTGCAAGCCGCTAACCGGACTTGATGGGGCAGGAAAACTTTACCTGCACTACAGTCAGCGTGGGAGCAACATAGACCTAGACCCTCAAACACTAAACCCCATAATCTAGGGGCCTTAATAATTAGAATAGGGTTTTGGGGCCCATTATACTATAACTATACTAAGGAACCCCCAAAATAGTACAAGTAATTAGTTAGGCCCCTACATTATACAACCTGAAGGACCTGTGGACCCGAACCCTAAACCCTAAACCCTAAACCCTAAACCCAGGGCTTCTTATCAACCCTCCAGCCCGCCCCGCCCGGGCCGTGGAATCTTCGGAGCCGAAGCTGCGGGGTTTAGGGTGTTTAGGGTTTTTT